AAAAATGCAATTTAAAAAAAAATTTTCTTTTTCAGGCTTTGACATTTTTAATTTGATAATTGATAAGTTAGAAAATTAAAAAATTTTGTTGAATTTTAAAGATGGACGGATTAGATTTTTATTTGGAAAATTTAAAAGTAAAAAATGAAATTGAAATAAATCAAGAAATAATTGATAAAATTATTCAATTAGCGACTTGTGGTAAAAAATATCCAGAAGATAAAATTGCAAAGGTAATAATTTTTTTTTTTTTTTAGTAATAATTAGATTGCGGGAAATAATTTAACAGTACGCAAAATTGAAATTTAATAAGAAAAAATGCCTTAATTGAATTAAAATTTTAAATATGATTAATTTTAATTAAGTTAATATCCGAAGTATCCTCGGATTACCGAAAAATTGGGTTGAGGTTAATTTTAGAGAAGAGCGTGGAAAAATATTCTGGTTGCAAAAAACCAGAGGCCAAATATGACTTTTATAAAATAGAAGCGATGCAAAATTACAAGGTACTAATTACAATTAAATCATATTACAGTTTTTGATGTTTTAATTATTTAACGAATTGCGACATAATTTAATGAAATATTATAGAATTTAATTTTAATACCACAGTTGATAATAATGAAGTTTCCTTCAAATTAGGAGATACAAAGAAAACTTCACCGAGAAATTTTATTTGTTCGCCGGGAAGTGCATGATGCGCTTGCGAAAGTAATTACACTGTGCAATGAAGCTTCAAGCATGACTTTAATTTCACACCGTCTTGACAAATGCTTAACGCCTGAACAATTCAATTCTCTCCAACTTCAGACAGCTGCAAAAACAATAAAATACTTAAAGGGCCAGTGGCTGGAAAAAATAATAAATACTGTGAAAATTTGCTTCCGCGAAGTTGGAAAAGGTGCTTTTAATATCCGTCAAACAGATCCGTGGGTTTACGACGTCGTAAAGCTCAAACGCTTGGTCAACCTCATCATTCAGTATATGCAGGTACGTATAATTATTTTTTATTTATATTAAATATTGCATGCCTTAAGCTAGAATTTTTTACTTGACTTAACTATTGTTCCTGGAACTATTGTTCCTAGAACTGCTGTTCCTGGAACTATTGTTACCAAAATAAGTTACTTGCGACTAACTTATTACAAGAATTAACGGCAGAAGGACCCAGGTAACATGTGCTTGAGCAAGATTTTGATGCCAGTGTCTTGAGCAAAACTCCTAGTTGCTAGTGTCTTTTTCTACATATGGGTCTTGCTTAAGTTCATGTAGAAAGAACTGCTTCAAGATTTATATATAACTAGCTCGAGACATCTTGTGGAAGAATATGAGACACGTCTAATGCAAGGTGCATTGAAAAACTTTCTGACGGATTTGTTTGAATCAGAAACTCACAACAGACACTTACCCATAACTTGCTCAACATTTGCTCAAGATCCGTAATTCTCAGTAATTTGTTCATTTCTAAAGCATTTGTCAACCAAAAACTAACAGCAAATGTTGAAGCGTGACTTGCTCAAGATTTGCTCAAGATGCATCATGCATTATATATTTTATAGCACTTTTTCCCCGACAACTACTTGAAGATGTATTGATTCAGTGGTGGTCATTTTAAAATAATTTTGTCTTGATCGATAAAACAGTAGGTCTATACTCTAAAAGGTTAAGCTGAATGAGATCTACTGATCCTATAGTAAATATAGGAGGGGCAGAATGATAAGAACGGTCATTCGAAAACATTTGATCTTGAGCAGATCTTGAGCAAGTCTTGCACAAGTATATTCAGCATGCTTTTGGTGTCAGTCTTTCTCAAGAATTGATATAGTTAGTTTATCGATAAGCATCTTCAGATTTTCTCAATTTTCTTACACAATTGTTGAGCTATAATCTGGCCGAAAGTTCTTGTACAAGGCTTGTTCAAGACTTGTCAATTGAATTTGCTACAAGTATCTGGAGCAAGACCCATAGGTAGAAACAGACACTAACAACTATCAAAATTGAGACCAGACTTGCTCAAGCCTTGAAAAAGATTGCTATATGGGGAACAGCAAGATCTAGACAAGACTTCTTTTTAAAGATGAACAAATCTTCATTATATCATTAATATAATTATCTTTTTAATTTATTCTTAGTGTCCAGTAGATTATTTTTAGTAAAAATTTTGATGAATTTAAGCTACTTTTAAAAGCTTACTTCTAACAAGCGCTTAAGGCATGTTAAGATTTACCCAACTTTTCTTAATATTTTATCAGTCTTTTGCAGACTGCATTGAATACGTTGATAAAGTCTTCAATAGAGAAATACTGCTTATTGTTGGTAATTCCAATGCTGGATCCTTCAAGAAGCTTTCTAAGCTTACATCCCTCATTAGATGCAATTTTTGAAGTGACTCTAACAACCAATTCAAAAAGATTTTCCTATGCGGAGGAAATTAACGAGCTTATACCGTCTTTGTTGAAGTGGATTGACGAGATCGTGATTGAGTTGCATGCAATTAAGCACCCACAAGCTTACCTGTTTCCCGAGTTGAAATTTCCCCCAGATATGTTCCTTTCGCCTATCGGACTTCTAGATGATGTAATCGTTGATGCAAAGACAAGCATCGAGAGTTTCTATCGACCGCTTATTGGTAACTTAATAACTTACCTCAATAGTTATCAAATATATCTTGAGTTTCTGAGCTCGGACGTCGAGTCATATCTTCGGTGAGTGTTCAATTTTGTTTTTTTAAATAGATAGATTATTAGGAGCGTATTTAATAAGCTTTCAGATGAAGCTTACAGGAATTTAATAAGTTATCGAATTTAATAGTAATTGCCAACTTAAAGACCCAATAAAACTCGCTATTTTATTAAATTTAAATACATTTAAATTGCTGGCATTTTTAAACTTATTGATCTAGCTAAATAAATAGTTATGTAGATAAAAGGTTATTAAATGAGCTTTCAGACAAAATTTACAGCTATTTAGTAAGTTATCTTATTCTTAAGCTATAGCAAGGAGAGACACTAAAAGTTTTCATTTTTAATTAATTTTTAAAAATTAACAATTGCTGTAATTAGTAAACAAACCGAGTGATTTAGCTGATCTTCGAAGTTAACCTTGGAAATCCTTCAAAAAATAAGTACAATACGTTTTATGGAGATCCGATAATGTGTGAGTTATAGTAGAGTCCGGTTATATTGTATCTAGAAACTTTCAACTTAATTGTATTTTCTGAATCCCCTCGAGCAGAGATATTAAATAGTAAAAGTTTTCAAAAGTTATCAAAGGAGTAGTAGTTGAACAATCAATTCTGACAAGCCTTAGTAGTTTAACACACCGGGAGCAGTATAGTTTAACTAATAAAATATATGCCAATAGGTACACCAAAAATTTTCAACGTTTTATTGAAATATCTAAAGAATTATAACATATTATTGATTAATATTAAAAATAATACTATCAATATTTAATATGTTCATTTAAAAATGATAAATATTTGTATTTAATTTTTTAATAACATTTTTTATGAATGACAAAGCAAATTTTCAATTATAAATCAAAAAAATTCTATTCAAAACGTTTAATAATTTTTAACTACACTAATTTTTAGCTATAAAACTTATTTAATTAGCAGTAATTAATACAAATGACAATGCTGATCACTAGTCGATAAACCTATTAGAGATTAGAGTGCTGTTAAAATTATACGGCCCCAGCTTGTTCAGGTTATGGTTACCGCTTTTAAAATTTCGAGGTATAGTCAGACGCTAAAATTTAATATAAAAATTATAGTTTATGTCTTTGCAAAAAATATGTATTATTTAGAAAAGACTATTTCATTGGGTGGTACAATTTTTAAAATACACCGTTTTTTTTAACTGATTGTTCGGTTTACAATTTAGTATCTTTTTCATGAAAAAAATAGCATCTATCGTCTATTCTCGACACGTAAACTTTTAAGTTAACAAAAATATAATTGTTTTGATTTATACTTGAAAAAACTTACAGAAATCAATTACTGTATCATTGAATAATTATAAAATGCGCATATTACTCATAATAACCCGGATTTTGTATTACAACAATTCAAAAAGTCTGTTCAAGTACTGGTCCCATTTTTATAAGTGTTTTACTGGGTACTTTACCTTACCTATTTTTTTTGTTTTTTTTGTTTTTTTTTGGAAAGTTAATATCAAAAGAGTGAAACTGTAATTTTCCGTGCATATTATATCCGTCCATTACCGGAGATGGATTTATAAAAAACTACCAATAATACGGTATTAATCTTCCGCGTTGTTACTTCCAGGGATATCGAAGCGGAAAACATGGACACTCATGAAATATTCTTGGGATTGATCCATTTTAAATCCGAATTAAATTGCATGAACGAAAACCTGCCCGGGACTGTATGGATAGGTGTTTTCAAAATATCCATCGAGGCAAAAAAATCGTTACACGATAAATACGACAAAATCACTCGCGGGCTTGCTAATATACTAATGAATCAATGCAGAAATAAAGTGGAAAAGCTCATCGCCAATTACAGAGACATTGAACAAACATTAAGAAACACACCGCATTGCATTGAAGAGACAATTGAGGTTGAAAATTATATCCGAGAAATCCCATATGTGTTTGATCAATCACGCCGAGTAATGGACACTGTGGAATCCGAGTACAGTTTGCTGGAAGCAATTAATTGCAATATTCCAACCAATGATTTTAATTTGTATTGGGAAGCTATTGGGTATCCGTTGAAAATTACGGATCAAATTAAATTAACATTAGAAGCACTAAGCCATAAGCGCTTGAAATTAGTAGAGGAATTACGTATAGACGCGTTAGAGCTTGAAAAGAAAATAAAATCCTTGATGGAAGAATTTGGACGGGTAATTGAAGTGATTAGTGTTGAAAATGTACTTGAATGTGCGATTGAAATTAAGCGGATGTGGAAATCACTAAACTTATGCAAATCCCAAGCTTTAATTGTTAATCAACGCCAGGATCTCTTTGACATACCAGTCACAGATTTTGATCAATTGTCTACCCTGGAGAATGACTTCAAGCCTTACAAAATACTCTGGACAACTGCTGCAGGTATGTACAGTCGACTGTCTAAAGGTTCCCTAACAAAAAAATCCATGTTAAAAATTTCTATTGTAATTTTACAAGAAGTGTATTGGAAGCTAATAGGCAAAACATTTATTTAAAATTACAATCGGGTACCAAATATTTATTTAAAATTACAATCAGTAATATTACAAAACATATATAGCGAGGTTACTAATTTTACAAGGTTTTGTAATTTTACAAATATTTTTAGATTAGCTAAGTTTGTAAAATTACAATACTTTCCTTGAATTTTACTTTAATTGAAATAATAAAAAAGAAAGGTTTGATTTAATATTTGTTGCCGTTTTATTTTTATGAAGCGCTGACCAGATTTTGCATCTCACGTAGACCTAATTTTTACAACTCTGATGATATAAAGTGACAAATAATATTTACCCTAACTAAGAATCGAACGCGAGCCCCGCGCTTGCCAGATCGATACCTAACGCCCTACGCCGTACGACCGATAGGTCATTTAACATCTTATTATTCTTATAAGCTAATCCTATGTGGTGATTGAGCTTTACGGCTTATTATTTATTATTTACATTATTTGTGTTATTTGATGCTGTTTATTGATGGAAAATAACTAACTTTTACATTATTTATAATTCATTGAATATTATAAAAATTAAAGTCTAACATATACTCATATTAAAATATATTGATTTGGAAATGATCGTTTGAGCGTAATATTAAAATTTATAAAAGATAAATGATGCCTCGAATTTATTATTACAAATAAACTTAGACTAACAAATTAGTAAAAATAAATATCAAGGACATTGTTGTTTTTTCGATACATCAGTCTCATTTTTGTAAAACTTAAAAGTATTGTTTTTAAAATTGGAAAACAGTCAAGTAGAATTACAATTCGTGTAATATAATTAAAATTGTCTGGTAACATCACATTGCACTGGGTAATTTTACAATGAAAATTGTAAAAATAAAAAAAAGCTTTTTAAATTTTTTATCAGATTATTGTAATATAAATTACAATATTTTTTTGTGATTTTACATAAAATTTAGAATCAGATGACAAATAATGTTTGCAAAATTAAAAAGCTTTTTCTTAAAAATTGACCAATTGTAATATTACAATGCGTGTTAGGTTTATACATGAAAATTGTATAATTACAATACATCTTAGTAGATTTCTTAAAAGGTGTTGGAAAATTACACGAATTGTATTTTATTTCGCATTGCTATACACTGATCTGTAATTTTACAAATTTTAAAATTTTACAAAAATTTTTAACAAACATGTGTTTATATGGGAATCCACATAGGAAAGTATGGATTCCTGGATTAATAGGAATCCATAGGAAGTGTGGATTCCTAAAGGAATCCACACGGGAACCTGTGGATACATGGATTCTTATATAGAAAATCCACATAGGAAATATGAATTTCTATAGGAATCCACATAGGAACCTGTGGGTTGATGGATTCCTGTATGGGAAATCCACATCGCAAGTATGGATTCCTATAGTGAATTTATATAAGTGGAATAAACATAGACCTTGTTAGAACGTGACTTAGGCCAGTGAGTAGCGTAGAAGACTGTCACCCATGAGGTACCGGGTTCAAGTCCATCAGACGCCAGCAGTTTTTTTCATTAGATAAAATTACAAAATCCCTTTTTCACAATTTATTTCAATTAATAATTAATTAATAGCAATTACTTCATAATTATTTTTAATTTTTTAAATAAATTTTTTTTCGCTTGATTAATATGGGAATCTATGTAGGATCCTACCCTGGATTCCTATATAGGAAACCATATGGGAATCTATCCGAAAACGCCATGTGGGAATCCAGGCTGGTTTCCCACATGGATTTTTTTGATAGGGAGTCGACGTAAAAGTTATAAATTTACAAATGAATAGTTTTTATTTCAAAGCTATTATTCTCGTTGTTGAATATTTTAAAATTTCAAATGAAAACTTATATGGAATATATAGTTGGAAAATATTTATATACGCAGGATTATTTCTGCGTATTGCGTTGTGAAAAACCTTTAAGTACGCCTGAGTACATTCGTTATTATATTTTTATATAGTCAAGTTTACGGATGAAGTGCTTTTGAAATTTTAAAATGGATTACGAATTGTTCATGGATGACAATCAAGAAGCTTTACCCTGATTAAAAATAAGTATTGAACCTATGCAACTGTATATCTATATTGTATGTATATACAGATATACAGTGTGTGTAATTCAATACTTTTTCAATACTTTTCAATACTTTTTTTTAATCAGGGATATTATCTTCAAAGATTCTAATTCTTTGATGAATAATAAATTGTTGTTATGTTTTATGAATTGTACTTTAGAATGGCTGAAAACTGAAGAACAATGGCTTGAAAATCCGATTATTAATATAAATAGCTTAACGATGCAAAGCTTTATTGAAGAAACGGAGCAAAACATTGTAAGTTGCGTCGAGTTGTTTGAAAATCAACCAGGTAATATAGACTTAATTTCACTTGTTAGTAGGCAAATAAAGTAGAAAAAAGTTTATTTCTAATGTATATAACTCAAATTTGTGATAAATACAACAAATTGATAGCAAATAGCAATAATTATAGCAATCCAATAAAAGTTTAAAAGAGCCATAACCCGTAAACTAACCGGCGGATTTAGCTCATATTCAAACTGTATCTCGGGATTGATTCGTAGAATAAGTACACTGAGTTTCATAAAGATTGGCCAAGAACTTTAGCCGCAATCCTGCTTACATGCCGCTCTCTTCCGTAGATGTAAACTTTTCGGCTGATTAAACATATCCAAAAATTTTCTTTAAATTCCGACGTCCCGGCTACAATATCTACATTTCTAAAGAAATCTTCCTAAAAAATCTTTTAATTATTATATCTCGACAACAAAACGATAATAAGCTACTTTTTATGTAGATTTTTTTATAAATCTGTTGCAGAGGTACTCTTGTAGGAATTAACATAAAATTTTGCTATAATATGTTTTATTTTGTTGAGTTATACCGAAAAATAGCTCAAAAGTTTATATATGTGATAGAACCGGGGTGTAAGCACGATTACGGCTGCTATTCTTTACGGATCTCGATCAAACTCAATACATTTATTCTATCAACGGTAATCTCGGTCAAGTTTGAAAAAGGGGCAAATCGGTCCATTAGTTCCAAAGTTGTGGGTGTGAGAAAAATTTTTTCATTTTAATTAAAATATTTATTTAACGAGATTTTCCCAAATAAATTAAAAAGCATAATTGATAACTTAATTCTGGCAATTGTTATTTTAAAGTTCATGTAATTATCAATTTACCTTATTATAATTTCTTTTTAAATAATTTTAAATATTTTTTCTCCAGCTTATAAAATCAGCAATATGAAAAATAATTATTTTTATGTGATTATTCTCGACACAACTGCATAACTAATTGTATAAAAATTCCTAGTGCAAGTTATAGCTCATTAAATAAGTAACAATTTTAATTATTAAATGTATAATTTCCCTTAAATTTATAAATTTTACAAACGTTCTAAAGGTAGTGTCAAATATTTAAACTATTATGTGCTCAAATTGATAAATCTATCTTTCTATATCAAGTGTGGCTTTTTTAAAATTAATTTTTCAATAAAATTAGTCATTTATTTTTTACATTATAAATTTTGGCTCAATGGAATATTTAAAAATAAAATAATTCCAAGATTGAGACATTATATTAATATATAGCAATCTTTTTCAAGGCTTGAGCAAGTCTGGTCTCAATTTCGATAGTTGTTAGTGACTTTTTCTACCTATGGGTCTTGCTCCAAATACTTGTAGCAAATTCAATTGACAAGTCTTGAACAAGCCTTGTACAAGAACTTTCGGCCAGATTATAGCTCAACAATTGTTACCTGGATACAACAAACAAAATTCAACAATATTGATATTTGATTGCTTAAAAAAAATTAAATCATAACTTTATCTCTTATAGTGTCAATAATTGAGGCTTTTACCTTACTCAACTTGTTTTTAATCACGCACAATACTTAATACATTCCATGGTCAATTATTTTCCAGATATATTGAAAATAACATCCTACATATCCACCAAAATAGAATCCTTCAAACCTTACACCCTCATTGTCGACATAATAACCTTCCCTGGTCTAAAAGAGCGGCACAGAGAAGAAATAATTATGCAGACCGGAATATCAATATCTGAACCATCTAACTTAACACTTCAGCAGATTCTCGACCTTGGTATCATGACTTATATGGAAATTATTGCTGAAGTAGCTGACAAGGCACGGAAAGAGTACTCTGTTGAAGTGACCCTTGAGAAACTATCTCAATCATGGCTTGAACTTAAGCTCGAAATAGCGCCTCACAATTCAAATTTCGAAACTTATGTAATCAGTGTCTCAAAGGAATTGTTTGCAAAATTGGAAGAAGATATTCGAGAAGTGCAGCAGATTAACTGCGAAGCATTTGAAGCTTCTGCTACCGAGTGGGCAGCCAAGCTGCAATTAATACGGCAAGTTTTAACCACTTGGGTCGATGTACAAAGGTACTATACAGTACTTCTATTATTAATTTCATCCTGGAGTTCGTTAAATTTATCCGTCGGAGTGTTATTGATTTCAGATTGTGGATAAATTTGGAACCCGTGTTCGGTAATGAAGGTATAAGCAGACAGCTGCCGTTTGAATATAAAAAATTCAACACGGTTCAACGATATTGGAGGCGGATTATTAAAAAAGCACGACAGAATTCTAATGTAAGTTATTAAATAATTGCACTGTACTTTCTTAAATATTGACGTTTTTAAAGATATTAGCTCATCTTGGTGTTACACTCTTCAAGAGCTTTCATTTGAGTGCCCACATGCATTTTTGATATATTTTTCATATATACATATATATATATATATATATATATAATATATATAAATATATGAAATATATGAAAAATTGATGTGGGTACTCAAATGAAAGGTCTTGATGAGTGGAATGTAAGGATGAGCTTATATTTTTACAAATGTCAATATTTCACAAGATAATTATTTATTAAATATTTTATTATTGGAACATTTAAATACCCGATTGTAATTTTAAATAAATGTTCTTTATTCATCACAAACATGTGATCTGAGGCTTTCTTATTTCCTGCCCGTGGTGAGAATACTATTTTTCTCCTCGACAGAGGCGGAAAGCGGCATTTTCGTTTAGCGCAGCGAGCGGAAAATTGACGCTTTCCGCACGGAGAGGAGAAAAATGGATTATTATTTACCCATAAAACATATTTTTGTAGTGAGTGTATTTAACTGGCGCTTAAAAATCAAGATTCCAACATTTTGTCACGTTAAATCGTATCCAACAATCATATTGTACAAACAAGTGATATAAAAAGCAGGTCTAAAAGGAAAATGATTATTCACCCATAAAGCAATCTTTTTCAAGGCTTGAGCAAGTCTGGTCGCAATTTCGATAGTTGTTAGTGTCTTTTTCTACCTATGGGTCTTGCTCCAGATACTTGTAGCAAATTCAATTGACAAGTCTTGAACAAGCCTTGTACAAGAACTTTCGGCCAGATTATAGCTCAACAATTGTGTAAGAAAATTGAGAAAATCTGAAGATGCTTATCGATAAACTAACTATATCAATTCTTGAGAAAGACTGACACCAAAAGCATGCTGAATATACTTGTGCAAGACTTGCTCAAGATCTGCTAAAGATCAAATGTTTTCGAATGACCGTTCTTATCATTCTACCCCTCCTATATTTACTATAGGATCAATGGATCTCATTCAGCTTAACCTTTTAGAGTACAGACCTACTGTTTTATCGATCAAGACAAAATTATTTTAAAATGACCACCACTGAATCAATACATCTTCAAGTAGTTGTCGGGGAAAAAGTGCTATAAAATATATAATGCATGATGCATCTTGAGCAAATTTTGAGCAAGTCACGCTTCAACATTTGCTGTTAGTTTTTGGTTGACAAATGCTTTAGAAATGAACAAATTACTGAGAATTACGGACCTTGAGCAAATGTTGCGCAAGTTATGGGTAAGTGTCTGTTGTGAGTTTCTGATTGAAAAAATCCGTCAGAAAGTTTTTCAATGCACCTTGCATTAGACTTGTCTCATATTCTTTCACAAGATGTCTTGAGCTCATATATAAATATCTTGAACTAGTTCTTTCTACATGAACTTAAGACCCATATGTAGAAAAAGAAACTAGTAACTAGGGGTTTTGCTCAAGACACTGGCACCTAAATCTTGCTCAAACACATGTTACCTATACATACTTACTTTGAAAAAATGAGCCGCTTGTTATTTCAATTTACCAAACTTATTTTTGTATTATTACCGTACAGTAATAAAATTTTTTTTTCCTTCAAAGTTATCAAGCCTAATTACCCAACAGTCATGGAAAAATTATTGAGAAGAATAAAAGAAGAATTATGGGCGATAATTAAACTAGGGATGAAGACAAATAAATTACCTGGCCTTACCATCTGAAATTAGTTCCGTAATATTGTCAAAGGTGTGGTTTTAAATGGAATCGTACATACTGTTTTTTTTGCGTCTATATATTGTATTCAATTCCTCGAAATAATATCGAGCTAGACGAATAATTTTTAAACTATTATTCATTTTTTATGCAGAAATATTCAACTGTTAACGTTGACATTAATAACAAACTCGGGTATAGTAAACTATTTAAAAATCAATGTAAAAATTAATAAAACTCGAAATGAATAAATATTATGAATTTTAAACGTTTTATGCTTTGAATTGCATTTAAATGTTATAATATTCATCAAATGGGAAAACTAAATAACATTTTGATTTTTTAAGAACTGAGAAACTGGAGTGTACTTTCTTGCTGTAATATAACATTTTTTGCTCGACGGGCAGAAAGCGTCAACTTTCGGCCCGCTGCGCTAAACGAAGTTGCCCCTTTCTGCCTTCGTCGAGCAAAAAAATAGTATACACTTCACGGGAAGTAAATAAGAAAGCCTCAGACCACATGTTTGTTGACCTCGGCTTCGCCTCGGCCAACAATTACATGTGATCTGAGACATTTCTTACTTTACTTCCCTAGGTGTGTAATATACTATAGTTGAATATACAAAGAGCTCATATCAAAGCTACTAATTAGAATTATGAATAATTACCGCAGTAATGCTTGGAGTTTATGATGAATTAGTAGATATCATGTAAATCTAACTGTTGAAATTATCTGTAGAAGGAAACTTAGGAAAACTTTTGATATTTCCTGACTCAGCTCGTCAAATTTATGAAAATAATAAATTTTCACTGATGAAAAATAAAGGTTAGAAAATCCAAAAGTGCACGCCTCATGAATTTTATTGAACTAATAAAATATATGCCAATAGGCGCACAAAAAATTTTCAACGTTTTATTGAAATATCTAAAGAATTATAACATATTATTGATTAATATTAAAAATAATACTATCAATATTTAATATGTTCATTTAAAAATGATAAATATTTGTATTTAATTTTTTAATTACATTTTTTATGAATGACAAAGCAAATCGCGTGCTTAATGGTAAAAGGACTTATAACAATTTATGTGCCCTTTTACCTTTGCAAAGGAGCTGTTCTATAGATGATTGACTCATCACGATATCTCTGGAACTATAAGACCTAGAGACTTGAAATTTGGCAGGGATATTACTTTTACCATGTAGAGGTCAGCTAAGAATGGATTTTAAAAAATTCCTCCCCCAAAGGGAATTGCGGTGGCGTTAACAATGAAAAATTCAAATTGCTGAGGTATAGCTCTTATATGCTCCAAATTTGGTAAGAATCTGCCATATGTGAGGTAGAAATGATCTAAGAGAGGATTTTATGACAACCTATTCCCAATATGGATTGCGGAAGTGGGTGTTAACAATGAAAATTTTTAATTTCCAAACTAGAGCTCCTATGGTTCCATGACTAAATATCCCCCGGACAAAATATCCCCGTGACATTGTATCCCCTGCATTGCATTGTATCCCTGATCATGTCACTGACTTATCCACACGACAAATTTAACTACAAATTATGATTTGTTATTACCGTAAGATGGACAGTGGCGTTTACTCAAGTCAGGTCTTAATATGTGACTGAATAGTAGTTACAGACAGTGGTCTCGGATAGCTTAACTGGTAGAGCCTTTGGCGCGTAACCACCCGAGAAAAAATGTTTCTATATAATCATATATAATTGTATATGATCATATATGATTATATATGGAATCACATATATAATTATATAGAATTATATATAATCATATATAATTATATATAATCATATATAATTATATATGACTATATATGGAGCAATATACAACCATGCAGGATTATATATAGTTCCATATACAAATATATATAAGTATATAAAATTATATATAATCATACATGATTATATATGGAATTGTATATGAGGTTATATATAATCATATATAATTATATATGACTATATATAGAGCAATATACAGCCAAGCAAGATTATATATAATCATACATGATTATATATGCTTATATATAATTAACATACATAAAAATTTTTTCTTTGAAAAAAAAAATTTTTTTTGGTAATCACAAAAAGTGTAAAATGATGTTTATAATTACGTTTAAATAATTCGGAAATACAAAATTCGTCACATTTCCTATGAGATGTTTTGTCTGCTCTGCTACTACGTAATAGTGAAATCATTATTTATTTTATTATTTAAATAAGTGTTATATTATAATGAAATTCGGTAAGATAAATAAATTATGAATTATGACTATCCAAATATATATTATAAAATCAATTTTTATATTATATTTATGATAAACTCATATGATACATTAAGTAGATCATAGAATCATTATTGTCTAAGACAGCAGCACAGCAGACAGAAACTTCAAGACGCACGGAGATCACCAAAGTTAAGCAGCATTGAGTAGGGTTAATAGTTGGATGGGTGACCGCTGGTGTTATAGCCATAAAATTAGATCTAGATATTTTTTTTGCATTTTGATCGGTTACACAGAATTGCGTAGGACCATATTAAATACTCTATCCATAAAATTAACCCAATAATTAATTAGATGTAATAAATCTATAATTAAATATTGTTATATATAATTATACATAATTATATATAATTAGATATGATTATATTTGGCCATTTTTCATATATAATCATATATAACCAATTTATATATAAATATTTTTTCTCGGGCAAACGATCCGGGTTCGATTCCCAGTCCGGGCTGTCCGAATTATTTTTTCAGTCACTAAAGAGATTCCTACTGAGTAAAATAAGGTCCTCCCCTTCCCCCTTTATCCCTTATTCACCCAATTCCCAAATTGGTCACGGACTTATGACGCTGACATAGCATCGCGGGTTGTAATGTCCGGGGGTTGTTTAGTCATGGAACCGCTTCTATAGGTTCCAAATTTGGTGAGAATCTGCTACATGTGAGGTAAGAATGATCTAAGAGCGGATTTTATGACAACCTACTTCCAATATGGATTGCAGGGGTGGGTGTTAAAGATGAAAATTTTTAATTTCCAAGCTATAGCTTCTATTGTCGCCAAATATGGTAGGAGTTTTCTCTTTTTTATATGTGACACAGAAATCATCTAAGAGCGGATTTTACGACGAACTATCCCTGATAAGGATCGCGGGGGTGGGTTAACAATTAAAAATCTTAATCTCTAAAATATAGCTTCTAAAAGCTGTAAATTTGGTAGGAATCTTTTATTTCTTACGAGGAGAGAATCTCAAGACGGATTTCAAAAAATTCTACTTCCTACAGGGATTCCGGGGGTAGGCGTGTTAAAATCCAAAATTTTAATTTCCAAACTGTAACTTCTACAGTCTCTAAATTTAGTAGAAATTTTCGTGAATAATTTGAAGTTCAGCTGATAATGGATTTTCTCGAATTTTAACCCTAAAAGGGATTGCGGGAGTGATAAGAGTCAAATAATTCATATTCTTCAAATACAAATCCTACAGATATAAAATTTGATAGAATCTTATGAGAAACGAAAAATTACAGGGATGGCCTTCAAGGTCAACCGATTTAAATATTTTTTTCTTAATGTCAATTATTATTCATTTTTGGAAAGTAGCCACGGGAATAATATAGTGATTGCACAATGAAAGTTACAATGATTTTTAGCTAGAATAATCACAGGAATAAAAGGTCAATCCGATGGAATTTGGAATCTGTGCAAGTCAAAACAATACTCCAATTAAATTTCAAGTTTAGATCTAAAAATACAATTCTATTCAATTCTAAGTGCCCAGCGAAGTGGGCGGGTAACTGCTAGTTATTTAAATAAATGTGATGTTATAATGAGATTCGGTTAAATAAATAAATTAGGACTATCAAAATATATTATTATTATTATTATTATTATTGTGCTTTACTTGTACACCTCTCGGTTTTTACAAGGCTGATTCCTCTTTTTCTCCTAGCTCTACGCTTTTTCTATTTCTCATATTCCGTCCGGAGGGAAGAAAAAAAATTTGTGCCGCTTGGGTATATTCAATAGAGCGATTAAAGCGAGAAATTTCAAAATATTTGAATGTTCTCTGTCATTGTGATTTTTTTTTATGACTTAATTTTTACGTAATTTATTTTTGATTGATTTATTTTCTATTTGTTTATATCAAACTTTGTATATGAGGCTGTTATTTGAGTATAACTTGTCTTGTGAAACTATTATTGACCATTTGGTATAAAAAATACAATTTTTTTTATACGCCCTTTTACTTTTAAGTAGTACTTTTCTTAAAGGTGAAAGGGCGTATGTCTTTAGGATACCAACTTTTTTTTTTTTCACAGATTTTTACGTTTCAGACAATTTCAAACCGAATGACAAAAAAAAATTTTTTTATATGCCCTTTCAGCACAAATCCCTATTAACCCTTAGCTATAAGTCCTTTTACCTTAAAGCACGCGAATTCACCGGAATCAGTTATTGTTAATTTAATAAAATTGTATACTTTCATTTAATTCGGCAAACATTACTCTGGATCTCTAAAATCTATATTTGCATTAAAATATTATTTATTCGACCATAAAGCGCTAATTCAATAATCAACAAATAATCTTTGCGAAGCGCTGACTCGATTATTATTATTATTATTATTATTTTATTCTGTCGTGAAGATTTTTTATCCGAAAGTTTCTATTCAGTCAATAAATATTCAGAGGGTGAGTATTTTTTATTATTATTATCATACTTTTCTTACTCTCATCCGATAATTTACTTCTGAGGTACTTACCTGGAGCTCTATAAGATGCTTTGATGTAATTTAGTCTTATTATCTTCGAATTTTTATCCCGTGACAAAGATTACAGATATAATCAACGTTGATATATTAAATTGAGCGCTTACAAAATTTTATTAATTCATGAAAAAAAATATTATTCTTGATTTTTAAATAGAAAGCTTCAAGTCATGGAATTATTTTTAATGCATTTATAGTTTTCTTATAATTACTTTTAAAAACCACCAACTAAATTTTAGGATTATTTTCAACAACCTTTAAAAAAAAATTCCACCGAGTTTTTATGAATTTTTTATAATTATAAAATTGCCAGATCATTTAAAACTTGTGATATCAAAACTAACGATTTAATGTAACTAATCGTTGGAAGCTTGATTTTTAGGCTACACTGAGAGAAAAATCTGGTTCTCTGAACTAGCAAAATCTAGTTAAATAGCATCACCACTATTCAATAGAAGTTCTTATACCTAAAATAATAAATTATATCGAACCCCAATAGATAGTTACTTAAACTATTTTTAGTTAAATATCGGCTTAATAGTAATCTTTATTAACTTTAACTGAGAAAACAGAAAAAATAATTGTTACAGCCCGGACCGGGAATTGAACCCGGATCTTTTGGTCAAGCACCAACGGCTCGGACAGTTAAGCTATCTGAGCCATCGTCCGTAACAACCTTTCAGTCACCTAATTATTTTTTGTTTAACACGATAGAAAAATATTTATTTAAATACAGTCCATATAACTATTTATCAATAGTTACTTAAACTAATGCATACTTCGAGTAAATACAAAAAAAAAAAAAAACGTTTAGAAATCTATATTATTAAGAGAATAAGAAAAATTTTGTGTCCGGGATAGTCATATGATAAAATCGGATTTTCCAGTGAAATTTAGTGTCATTGCAAAGGTCTTGATTTGAATTTGAGTCAATATATCAGCAGAGCTATTACGTCGTAACTAGATAATTTCATGCGACTATTGCACGCCTCATAGCGCGAAGCGCATGAGGTTGTGCTTTATACTCGACTCGTCAAGGTCAAGTAATTTTGTGATCTTTAAATGCCTCTATCACAACCATATTACACTTATACAATAATATAAGTAGATGTACACCGAGAAAACACTTAAATTAAACCATCTTTTACTTTCTAAAATCATTTCATGTTGCTATTTTGTAAAAAAAAAAAAAACGTTTTGAAAAAAATTTTACGTGGACGTCCTGATGTCATTCCATTTTGGATGTAACAACGATTACTCCCGAACAAATAGATATTTCAAGACCGGACCTTTTTTATTAGTTTAAGAATTCGATTAACTGGGTCCGTATTTAATATCAGTAGCCTAGTTTACGTATTGGTTTTTTTAAATTGAATTTTTATTAAAATTCACTACGATACAACCGTACAAAGACAAACGAACTTTTCTTATTTGTCACGTGAAAACTATGGCGCCACTTGATCAAGCTAGATTTTTTTAGACTAAGTGCGCATATGACAAGAAAAAAGAGCGCCGATATTTAAAAAAAAAAATAAAAAATATGTAAGAAATTACTTAATTATTTTTTTTTTTCAATCAATTACACAATTTATTTTTTTCTTAAAAAATGAATGAGCGTTATGAGGCGTGCACTTTTGAATTTTCCAAACTTTACTTCGTAATTCTATCAGCGTAATACCCTTTTACAAACTGTAACCACTGGTTATTAATACTTTGAAGCGTAATTCAATCCATAATTAAACCCTAAGGATATTAACAAGACCAAAGCAGGAAACTATTCACGGATATATTTATTTAACAACTTATAATACATCAACTATATTACGCTTAATAACAGAAGGTACAAAATCAACAGAATCCTTAATCAAACATCCTAATAACTTCGGAACAGATAAAACAGTTCCGGAAATAGCCGAAAAAATTATTTTTAAAAAATTGCATTTTTTTATTTTTAAAATTTTTTTTGCCATCATTTATTTGTTATAAATTTTTTAAAGTTATTAAAAATATAAATTAATGTTCATTAATTAAGAAATGACGTTGTATCTTGTGAACTATTGACATTTTTAAAGATATAAGCTCATCCCGACATTACACTCATCAAGACCTTTCATTTAAGTACCCACATCAATTTTTCATATATTTCATATATTTATGTATATTATATATATATGTATATATGAAAAATATATCAAAAGTGCATGTGGGTACTTAAATGAAAGCTCTTGATTCCCGTAACACCAAAATGAGCTTATATCTTTAAAATATATGTTATATATATGTATATATGAAAAATATATCAAAAATGCATGTGGGTACGCAAATGAAAGCTCTTGACTCCCGTAACACCAAAATGAGCTTATATCTTAAAAACCGTCAATATTTAAGAAAATACAGTTCAATTTAACAAAAATCATTATTGAATTTAAAAAATTTTTCAAAAAATATAAAGCTAAAGAATTCTTTTTAAACCTTAAAAAAATATAAAATAAACTCACGGAACTAGAAATAGCCTGCAGTGCCACTGCACCGGAACTAGATACCCTTCACCAAACTACCCACTAATTAACTCTCTAAGCATCATCAAATCACTAATTAAACCCTAAGGATATTAACCCTAAGCCCAAAACACTGAAATAATTACCAAATATATTTATTCAACAACTTATAATACATCAACCATATTACGCTTAATAACAGAAGGTATAAAATCAACAGAATCCTCAATCAAACATCCTATTAAGTTCGAAACAGACAATACAGTTCCGGAAATAGCCGAAGGATAATCCCTGCCGTTGTTAGTTTGAAACGCAATTAGCAACCTCTTGCTAAAATAATTCCCATGGGTCGCCAAATGACCTACTTCTACATACTCCTGTCTGTGTCTGGACCACATTTCAAAGGACACTTTCAAGCTCTCCCAGGGCTTAAGCTCATCAGCTGCTCTAAGAACAATGCGATAATGGACCCCTAGGTCATCATAGACCCTAGTAACCACTTCCACAAGCTTAGAAAACTCTTTAGTGGCTTCCGAGGCCTTGGAGAGTGTAAAGCAGTCCACATTAGTCGCCTGCGCGACCCAGAACAAGCCTAAATCTGCTTTACCGACTGTCGGTGTGGAATTACCGATAGTCGGGAAGTAATTTCTGCCTACGGAGTGGTACCTCAAGGGCAAGCTTTTGGGATTAATCAGCTGCTTAGTGTGCATGCTTAAAAACGCAATTAAACTAGACCCTCCGACTAAATGAAGCTTGCCTAATATTTTATCATCATGGTTGCTCTGTTCTAGCAGGAACGACGCCCTGGGGTCAGTGTGGTCAGTTCCGGAAGCTTCAACAACAAAATCCCGCGCAAAATCAGTTCCACTGACCCTAATAGTGTCCAAAAAGTACCCAGCTGCCCACCTGGTGGCTGCTAATTCAACTAACGCAGCTTCATTGGTCAGATAATAGCACATCGGTTCCAGGAACTCAACCAGGTGGCGCTCCAAGCCAAGTTCCAAGTGGCTCTTAGAAGTTCCGAGAGTTTTCCGACCTTGTGTTCTAAGAACCACCGGCTCCATTGGAGTTTTCTCATCTAAATCATTGGGTAAGTTCAGAACATTAACAATTACTGTCTCTTCAAGCTTCCACAGCTGTTCTTTAATTATTTTCAAGTCCTGCCGCAAGATGGCGCCCTGGGTTTTGAGTTCTTCAATAGACCCGCCGGTTTTTTTGACCTTTTTTATCTTCTGAGCCAACTCTTCGCGCTGAACTTCCACCAGGTGGCGCTGGTGGTCAATGCTTTTGTAAAAATCCCAGGATTCTTTGATTGCAGCGACATCTACCGGGATTTTTCGACAATGCAATTGATATTCGAGCTTTTTTATGTCGGCAAAACGATCGTCAAAGTCGAGGATCGGGGAAAGGAACGAATAACAGTCGGTTGCTTTATTTCCGGGGATAAAAAGAGCTGATGCGTGCCTGCAAGGAATGTTTTTAAGGACTGAGGTTGATATTCTACTTAATGCCATTTTGTTATTGGATTTTCATTCTTTTGCTTTCGGGTAAACTAACGTTTTCCCGGGTTAGGGTCTCGATTTTGCGCTTTTCGGGGATTTTCCAGTTACCGTGGCCTGCAGCTCGCTCGGATTCCTCGATAGTGTAGGGATCTACTTCGAGAGCTTTAAGGCGGCGTTTGTGGACTTTGGATCTACGGTGCTTGTCACGGGCTTCCTCGTCGATAAAATGGCGCCTTGAGGAAAATTTTTAGATTAAAATTGCAATACTACATTAATCACTTATTTAAAAAAAAAAAAAAAAAAAAGTGTAAAAATGTTTGTGTAGAATTTAACATTTTAATATGTTGATTCAACACAGATTGTATGAAAAAAATCATCTACACAAATTTTTGTGTTAAATTTGACGAAAAATTTTTTACTGTGTATATATAGCAGTCAACTTAAACTTTTTTGAATCTTTTTAAATCTTGTTTTTTTAATAAAGAATACTAAAATTAATGTTAACGTTATTATTATTCATAATTGTAAATCTATACAAAAGAATATGAAAAATTGTGTTTTTACGATATTTATATAATAAAATCGGGTTTTTTTTAGTTAAAATTAGTGTTATTGCAAAGGTCTTTACTTACATTTGTGCGTTTTTAAGGTGTCTTATCATTCTCAGTCAATTTAGTATGATAAGTATTTAGGGTGCATTCGAAAATATTCTCTAGATAGATAATTAAGAAATGACCTTTCAACTTGTGAACTATTGACATTTTTAAAGATATAAGCTCATCCTGATGTTATACTATTCAAGACCTTTCATTTGAGTACCCACATCAATTTTTCATGTATTTCATATATTTATATATATATATGGGTGATTGTCTGTAAGGACGTCTTAAATCTGTACAAAATTGTCCGACCAAATTATTTTTGATTTTATTAGAAAAAAAATTAACAAGAGCTACAAAACTATCTTAATCATAATAAATAAACAGATTTAAATTTTGCTTTTTCGATATTTGTGTCTTTTGCCATATAACATCACAGGGAACTGTTTGCCAGGGGACTGTTTTTTTTTATCAAATTGAGAAAAATCAAGCAAACTATTTCAATGCATTCAACTTTTCAAGTTCTCAATCAATGTTTACATTAATTAGAATAATATTAAGACTTATGAATCGAATTTTATAAATAAATTATAAATAAAAATAGTTGCCAGGGGACTGACGTTTTAAAGTGGCCCAGACACATATTTCCAGCACAAACGGTGCTTTGACACTAAATAAAATGCCGATATAGCGCTAACAGCCCTATGGTTTATTAACTCAAGGCTAGTTAGGTCCTTATAAACCTTACAAAAGGTAAAATAACACGCTGGATTTTTTTTTGCTTTGAACTTCTGGCAGGGGACTGATCTCAAATGCCTGGGACATACTTTGGTTTAATGAATTTAATGAAACAAAATAATTTCCGGTACTTTTTATTGAAGAAGATTGTTAGTTAACTAATTAAGTTTATAAACATTATGGACCAAATTATATATATTATGGACGAATAACTTAAAATTTAATCTTAAAGTTCTAATTTCGGGAATGGGACAGCTCAGGGGACTGTTATTTCAGTGGTTTACGAATTTATAGCAAAAAAACAAAAATTTATTTCATTTTAGTTTTCAATACTCCAAATAGAAATGTTTTTTTACTTTCATGATACATTTTTTTTAGTAACAAAATAACAATTTTTCTAATAAAAAAATACCTGGGAC